CAGGGGAGAACACAGAAGCTAATTTTAATGCACTGAGCTCCCCAGTTGTCTTTCAGTTGCATTTTGTACCTGTCATCAGCTTTGATAACTTTGGAGGAGTAAAGGAGTAACTTCAGAACATGGATGAGGTACAGAATTTGTTTTCAGGCTGCTGTTTCAAGCAGCAGCTATGTCCATATCTTCACTCTTCATCATAAACAACAATAACAAAAGTTGTCTCACTGCCAAACTTCTCATGCTGAACATGCTGTTACCTCCGATGTGAGCAGACTGAAACTCTCCTCTCAAATTCTCTTCTTTTATTACTCAAAAAGAGTCCAACTTGCATGTCTGTTTTTAGGAAATGAGGGAAGTAGAAAAATGACACACATTCCCTTTAAGGACTTATTGTCAGACCTCACCTGATCAGTTATATGTACACCAAATAATTGGCAGAATAAGTCTGATCACTTCTTTACTGTATACAGTACCTTTTCCGTGCTTGCAATTTTTGAGCAACAAAATAACAAAGAATTTCCTTAGCAATGCAGTTGCAGTAAAATTCAGGGGGGAAAAAAAGTTGAAAATGCAGCTCAATGGATGATTAGTGTAGAGTGCTTTATAGTCCTGTACACTTAAGAAACCTGAGAGATGGCTGTGAGATATCTGTTTGGCATATTCCTAGCTTTACAGAGTGACCTTTCATATTCTCAGTAGATAATATATTGGATTGATTACCATTGTTTAGAAGGTCTTATGTTGAGCAAGTTATAGAAGCAGTAAAATACTTCTGGGTTTTATGGCAAAACTAGTCATTTTATAATAGCGAAGCTTGATTTTGATGGGAATTGAACTGCAGTTTGGACTCTGCAAGAATTTGTTGCATTTCTTTTATAGATCTCAGATACAATGCAACATTGGATGCTGATCTCCAGTCATCTAGAGTGACTTCTAGGGGATTATTTAAAGAAAATAATGAGAGATATATGCAGAAAAATATTGTTGTGAGTTCTGCAGAGACCTGTGTTGAGCATATCTTTAATGTACAGGTAAGTGATCTAAAGTACCCTCATGGATCAAATCTTTGAAAAAAGAAATGACAGAATTTTACATTAAAAAATCAAAAATTTATTTGGTATAATCAGTAACTTACTAAATATAGCTTAAAATACAGGCCCTATTCAAGTCAATGGCAAAACTTGGATTCATAGATTTTTAAGGCAGGAAGAGACAATTGTGATCTAGTCTGATCTCCTTCATATGACCAAATAATTGCATCCACTGCATCAAGCTCATTATTTTAATGAGTTCAAAAAGGCCTATTCCATAGCTGTCTGTACAAAGATATAAGTGGTGAAAAGGTTTCTATATTGAGGGGGAAAATCCACACACTTAGGTAAACAAAATAGGCACTCTTGTGCTATGTACCATTCCTACAGAGGGAAAACACCCAACCCCCCTTCTTTATAACAATGAAATGAACCCAGATTCCTAGAGCTGCAGTACAGCCCTTGCATGATCCCATAAATGGTGATGAGAATGTGTCTGGGAGCTGATTCTTTTATTCCTGCCTTGAATAAAAAAAAATAAAAATACCTAAACAAATCTATTAACAGGCACTTTGTTAGCACTGAGGATGTCTTCCTTTCTTCATACACGTAACTGCTCTTAGGGCAAATGTTTTGGGCCAATGAATCACATCTATCACCCACTCTTGGTTTAGCCTCATTTCTGAGTTGTCAGCCATAGAGAAGGATCGAGAGGAGGATTTAATCAATTTGGCACTTCTGGGAAAAACCCATTCACTACTGGGACATTCAGAAGAGGAAAGGATGGGAAGACATACTTCACTTGTGTAATGTTTCTCCCAATGTCATTCCTCAGAGTCCAGTTGCCATATATAGTAGTCAGGCAAAGTGCTATAGGGTAAGACTCCATGTTTGGGTAAGGACCAGAATTACACAACCAAGTAAGAATGAAATAGGTCTCAAGTGTCTGCTTCCTCCTCTGCATAGCAAGCAACCTCTGCAGTAACAGGGACTTTCCAGGCACCAAGGTCACAGAAACAATTACAGCCACTATGAATTCTTGGGTATTATAATGGAAATGTTGACACTGGTACGTTCTGCTGTAATACAGCTTAACAGACCAGCTCAGGAAGAAACAAAAAGTTACAAAGAGGCAGTGCTGCAATATTAGAAGAGAAGTAACACTTCTAGTCTCTGTTGTTTATATCATGTCCAATATTACTAATGGAAAAATATGTAATACTATTTTAAATTATCAGCTGTACATCCAAATGCCAGTAAATATATATGTGTATTATAGGAGCCTTCTGATGCTGTAAATTCCCTGAGTCTGCGCATTGATATTAGCCTTAAGAATCCTGGCACAAATCCTGTCCTCGATATATACTCTCCTGCCACTGTGGCATACAGTGTAAGTATAGAATGTTACTGTGTGAAAACACACAGTGTTCCCCCAACACTGCTCCCATGGACACCCTAGAGATGAAGGGTAGACTTATGATTAAGGCATTGTACCGATGACACAAGGAATGGGTTTGTTTCCCAGTTTTATATCGTATGACTTTACAAAAGTTGCTTCGTTTCTATGGGTCTCACTGAGACATCTATAATAATACTAAGCTATGCCTGAGGTGACAAAGTGAAATTAGATATACCCAGGAATTATCATTTGAAACTAAAGATGTACAAGTTGTACCTTGCTGGTCTGGCACCCTCGGGACTTAACTAGTCCTGAATGAGGGAATTTGCCAAACCAGGGAAGGTTCCTTCTCTCATGGCCCGTTCTGCCACCGGGTTAGGGCTGCATCCTGCCCCCGCTGCTGCCTCAACCCCGCGGGGCTCTCTAGGTGCCACTGGCCTCACTACTGCCGGGGCTGGAGCACCATGGCCAGAGCTGTGCAACTGGGGCAGAGCTCCACAGCCGACTGGCTCTGTGGCTGGGGCCGGAGCTCCGCAGCTGGGGCTGGGGTGAAGGGATAGGGCCAAAACTCTGCGGCCCAGGCCAGAGTTCCATGGCTGCCACTGGGGTTGGAGCTCCATGGGCACTAGTAGACTAGAGCTCCATGGCTGCTGGGGCCAGGACTTCCCTGCCATGCTTTCCAGCGTCCCCAACACTGAGCTCCTGGCTGGGTCACTGGTGTCCCCTATGGCACTTTTGCTCCGCTGCTGGACCACGGATGTTGCTGGCTAAGGGAGTCCCGGTTAAGGGAGGTACAACCTATAGAGGAAAATATTTTTTCCCTTTCCTGTAGATCCCTTTCATTAAAGACTGTGGTGAGGATGAACTCTGCATTTCTGATCTTGTTCTTGAGGTTCAACAGAAAATGGATGATGGGTAAGTGTTAAATAAAATGAGTTTTTGAAAAGCCATTTGACCAACCGCATTCTGAAAAAAAAAAAGTGTTTCTTTGCAATTCAGCAAATATTTGTTGAAAAATATGTAAAGACTATTTCAGTTTCTCCTGCTAATAGAGGATGAAAACCCATCTGTTTTACACAGATATATTACAGTGCTGGAAAGCAACTGAATTCTTACAGTTACTTTGCTTTTAAAGAGAATTACAGCATTTCTATGTGAAAACTTAATTAAATAATATTGGTAGTACATAGTCAAGATTATGCAGCTTCACATAAAGTGTTCATTCAGGCCAGTCTTAAGAGGTGAGTTCACAGCATTTAGAACCATTGTAAAAAGTTCTTTGAAACTACAGCTTTAAGTATGTAGAAGTTTGAAAATTGATCATGAATGTGAGTTGTTGTTTAATGGAAGTACAGATTGAACCTCTAAAATCCGGGACTCTAATCTGGCAGCATTGGACCACAGATATTGCTGGACCAGATTGCCCTGGCTGGCCACGTTCAGAATTATAGCCTGGGCTGGGGTGGTGGTGGGGAGCCTAGCCCCAGCAGGACCAGCGTGAAGGAGAGCACCGTCCTTGCCAGGAGCTATAGGAGCGCAGCTCCATCCTGGGCTGGAGGTAGCGGGACCGGTGGCCAGAAGCGCAGCCTCAGTTGGGTCTGGCACTGTGAGAAGCACAGCATCAGTAGGGGCTGGTGTGGGGCAGGAGCTCAGTCCCAGCCGGGGCTAGCGGCGGGGAGCTCAGTCCCTGGTGGGGCTGGAATGTGCTGGGCATGCAGCCTGGACTGGCACTGTGGCAGAGGGAGTGGGTGCAGCTATTGCTGGAGCTGGAGGCTGCAGGGCTGGCACGGTGGGGGATGCAGCCCTGGTCAGGGTTGGCATGGTGGGGAGCTGGAGGCAGCAGCCCCACCTGGAAGCAGAGCCTATAGCTGGATAGGAAGTCTTGACCTCCCCCATCCAGTAAACTCCATTGTTTGGAACCATTGAGGCTGCCGGACAAGGAAGGTCCGACCTTCTAGAATACCATTTAGCGATCTGCTATTGCACTATATTTATAATACCAAATAACTTTTTCAACAGCAAACAGCCTTTTATTGTCAGTAGCAAGAACAGGAGGCTAACATTCACTGTGAAGCTGAGGAACAAAAAGGAAAATGCCTACAACACCAGAATCCAGGCTACATTTTCAGAAAACTTGTTTTTCGCTTCATCATCTTTACCAGTATGTAGAACTATTCACCTCCTAGCATCTTTTCCTATTATTATTTGTGTTTTACTGGTTTCCCAGAGAAATATTTTTTCTTTTTAGTATTGTTTTTCCAGCAAAGCCTGATATACAAATAGGGTTGCCAGATGGTTTCAGCAAAAATACTGGACACACTTGATATTACATCACAATCTACATTACATCTTATTTAGAAAATACCGGACATTTCTATTTTTTCATTTATATTTTCTCAATTTGTTTCCTGAACAGAAGGCTCAAATACTGGACTGTCCGGTTCAAAACTGAACACCTGGCAATCCTGTATACAAACTACCCCTCCTGCCCATCTAATTCCCTAGGATATCAAAGTTATCTTCTAGTTTTCTTACTAGCAGTCAGAACTAAATGTAGTATATCAGTTTATCTAGCTCAAGGATAGACACAGCCAGCTCAACAAAAATGCTGGCAATTGATCAAGTTTGATTCTGCTTCATTTTCCCCTTTACTCAGGACTTGGCATCCCATATCTACTGCTTG